GTGGCTCAGTATCACACAGCTTCTGAAGTCCTCACTGTGAACATCAGTTCATCCCAGAATTTTAGAGCTTGACGGAACTGAAGAGGTCATTGCGTCCAGGGAATCTGTTCTCTGCTGGGTGCCGGTGGTGGCTGCTGGTCTCTGCTCATACCTGTTAGGCTATGCCCCCTGCCGTGACTGCCTGTTCACTGGATGGACAGTACCGATGGCTAGAATGTTGTTCCTTAGAGGGACGTGACTGCCTGCTTCTAATTCCAGTTAGTCAGCTGATTCTAGCTGAATCCAGTCGTTTCTAGATGCCTGCAGTTGGACTGCTTTGGGATCCAGAGAGCGAGTCTCCAGTCCCCAGTTTTCATCACTCCAGGGTGCGGGGTAGATAAGGGACCACATTTTGGGCATGCCAGTGGGTTTCAGATGTACTTACTTTGCATGTCATCTCCAAGGTGATGACCTTGGTTTGCAGTCATACTCATTTGAGAGAATAAAATGGAACAGAGAATTAGACCACAGTTATATCCCTCACTTACCTTTTCCCACCCACGTGACAGTAAGAAACAAACTTAAGTCAATGAACAAGACCTTAAATGGGCAATTGGAAGATTTTTTCCTTCCCCCTCCATTGTGCCTAGAAGTAGGCTAAGTTACGTAGCCTTTGCTTTTTGGATTCCTACTTGTTTGTGTGTTGCTTTCTTCAGGGAACAGCGAGAATGCACTACTGTTCGAATGTGCGCATGCCCACGTCACTTCCATAGTTCACAGCCGTCTGTGCCCAGAATCTGCAAGTTTGCATTTTGTACTGTGTTGTGCTCCAGCCATGGGGGCAGAGGTGGGGGGGCAGTAACCAAAGAGTTGTTATTTGAGCATATTGGGTTGTACACAAAACCCTTTCTGTGTGCGCTGTGAGCCAGTAGCTGGAAACAGTTCACTTGTAAGCCTTGCTCATGCCTCTCCGGGCGTCTCGCTGCGTTCGGCCTTCGGATGGAAATGTCTTCTCTTGGTGAGCACTGGAGGGTGAGGGTTAGGAGCAAGTGTTTGTAAATATTTCAGTATGTATTTTAAAGGCAATCACAGTGCTTTCATAACCCTTAAACAAGTAATAAGAAATCTTTACGTCATGACATTATAGACTCACTCGAAGAGTTAAATGCAAAGTGTTTTGCCCAGATAAACTGCCTACAAAATTCTAAGGGGATGGATTTTTTTTTTTTTTTTACAAAAATGGTCATTTCATGTACACCAGCAAGCAGCTTTCTAAGACACCTCCTCTCTTTTCAAAATGCTTTCCAAAGTCAACCGTTTGTGCTGGCAGGTCCCTGCTGCCTGTGCCCATGGTTCCAGAAGCCAGGGTTTGTGCATGGATAATGAACGGGAGACACTCCATGTTTGGGGATGGTGATTGGATATTCTTAAAAACAGCCACATGTTTCTCGTGTGCCCAGCATCCCTGGCTGCCAGCTCTCTTGGTGGATGATGCCCTCAGTGCCCAGGCAATGGCAGCCTGGGCCCTGGAGCCTGGATTTTTGAGGCGGAGTCTCCGTTGCCTGTCCCTGAGGGGCCAGGGAGCCTGGGCTATCATATCAGACTTGGTGTCTCCAGCAATGGCTCTGCCTTCTGAGGCCTTCTCAGGTCCCTGCCACCATAGCTGTCCCTCTGGTTAATGAAACACATGAAATTGGGGCGTCTTTGGATGGTCACGGGAAGGGCCGATGTCCATAACTGGCTGGCCTGCCGTCGGCAACTCCTCCGGGCACCAGAGGATAATTGGAGTGGCACGAGACACCTTCAAATGTTAATTTAAGACTCTGATGTCACGAGTTTTTATGGAATACTCAATTCATGCAAGACGTGTAGGTGTTTTGCTAAAGTTTGTTCAGGATTCAAAGAGCTGGGATCAAACCTGGCTCTGCCACCTACGGGCATGTGTGACTTCTCCAGGCCTCCGACTCCTCACTGTCACCCGGGAATAATAATCAGCCACACTTCCTGAGGTGGTGTGAGGTTAGATGGGTCATCGTGCCGCCTCCCAGCCTTCGGAGGGCCAGTTCAGAGGCACCGTCTATCCAGTTCCCCCGAGTCCCCAGCCGGGTGGAGTCCCAGCGGGTGCTGTTCGGCAGAGCAGCCCGGGCTATTGGTGCTTCCTCCCGTGCCTCTCTGACCCTCACTCTTTCACGTGGGCTTCATGGAGTCACCTCCTAGATACATCCTGCTCAGGCTGTTTCCAGGACAAACCCAAACTGAGACAGGCAGGTGCCGTCAGGGACCTGCACAGTGCCTGGCACATGCCCACCTGCTGCTCTCGTGATGGTGGCTCTTTCTCTAAAGTGCTCCTTGTTGGGTTGCCATTCAGGAAGGCGGCTGATGCTGCATTGTGACTGGGCGTGGCTATCCCTCATGCCCCAGAGACCCCGATGGAGACCAAGTTTTCTGCACAGAAGCTGGCCCAGAGGACGTCGGAGCCTGACCGGGCAGCTAAGGGTGGGGAAGGGCTTTTGACTGATTGATTGGTGGGTTGGTTGATTTCAGTCCAGCCCTGGTGAAAAGTACTCAGAAAATTGCACTGGTCCCCCCGTCTCAACCCCAGACCATCCGGGTCACCGAGTGATAGAAGCAACAGCCTCATTCAGCCACTCAAGCAGCCTTTCGGCATTCACCTGATCCCTAGGGAGCCTGTTTGCAGGGGGAGCTTGACATGTCAGGCCTGGCTAAGGGCACACGCTGTTCCCTCCCTGGTCGTGGCCCCTCTGCTCACGTCCGCCAGAGCCCGAGTTGTAGCCACCATCGTGTTGGAGTTTCACTCTGTCCTGCAGAGTCCTCCTGGCCGTCATGAGCGAGGCTCTCTGCAGACATGCACGGGTTGCAGTGCTTTAGAAAGCTGTAATTATTGTCTGTCTGGATGTCGCGAGGCTGCATTTCTGGGGCGCTCCTGAGAACGCGCCGGGCATGTTGGGGAGGCCTCCCTCTTCATGTGGGTTCCCTAACAAGAGGCGGGTGAGGAGCTCAGGCCCTGGGCTGAGCTCCTCCCAAGCGGGAGTGCAGATGCTGTTGGGCTGGAATTTCCTGGGGAAAATGCAAATATGCAGCAAAGAATTTTTCAGTTTCTGGGGTTTGCTACTGTAGACTCCTTGTATAGAGAGGGGAAAAAATAGTTTCTTATCAACCAAGAAGCGTTCTGTTTATCACCACAGACCAGAATAGAACATGGGGCCGCGTTGCCAGTTCAGTTTTGCTACTTTTAAGGAATTCGGTTTTGCCACACAGCCCAGATGGAGACGTCGATTCGATTTCTGGCTCCTTCTCTGTACACTATTTCCACTCGACTCTCGTCTTTCATCTGGACGGACCACATGTTGCCTTTCTTGCTCTGAGAGGCGGGGGCTGGGAACGGCCTCGACTCTGCCGCCTCCTGGCTCTGTCGGTGACCTTGGGTGGGTCTCTTTCCCACTCGGAGCCTCGGCGTCCTCGCCTTTAAATTAATGTTCACAGGAAGCTTCCCGCCTTCAGTGGTACTTGCCGAGATCGAATGTTACAATCGATGTGAAAATTCCTCGTAAACTGTGAATCACAGCCCACACGGTGGCTGTTAGTCTCCCAGCTCTGGGATGGTGCTTTGTGATGTGCAGGGGACTCAATCATAAGATTACTGATGAAAAGATGGCAGCTGTCATTGACTCACTGGTGCCTGCAGTCCGGCATCGCCCTGAGCACTTTGACGTGTATTATATATTGTTTGTTTCCTCCCCCTAACTGCCATCGAGGCAGGTGCCGTGTCCCCTTCATTTTACTGATGAGGGAACGGGGCATGCAGAGGTGAAGTGGGTCACCGAGGACGCACCGTGGTCAGTGCAGTGGCAGCACCTGGAACCAGCTGCTCAGGCCCGTGCATCGCTTGGAGCTGCGTCTCCCCAGGAGGGCACTGCCTGCTGCCTCTGCTTCTTAGCTTCTCCCTTCGGAGGAGCGTCTGTCCCCCACATGTTGGTCCCCCTGGGGAATCAACCTCTCAGGGGTAGCAGCGCATGTGCCCCGCATCTGGGCCTTTGCCGGGTTCCCAGAGCGGAGCTGGGGTGCTGTCGTTGCGGGCGTGGACCCGGCGTGTGGGGGTCCAGCTCTGACTCTCACTCTCGTGCTGTCTGTGGAGGTGGCAGAGAGGTGGTCCCGGCAGAGAGAAGGCTCGCGACGAGCGGCCGACTTCCGGGGAGGGTGCGACGGCCTGTTCTCTCCCAGAGCTCTGGCCTTTTCTTCACGTATTTTGTAAAACGTTTTCTGCCTTCATATCTTATCTTGCTGGCAAATCTGACTCCACGTTCGGCACCATGATGGTGCCGGTTTTGCCAAACAATCAGGGTCTTCACAGACCCTTGGTCAGGCTCTTTCGGAAGAAGCCGTCTTTGGGGGTCACTGGCCGTGACAGTCCTACCTGCGGAGATGGCACAGGTGCCCGGGTGACGTCGGGCTGATGTCAGACGCGCCCAGGTTGGCAGCCCTGCTCCCCGGCCCTTTCTGGGTGTTTTGCGTTACTGACTTCCCCGACCTGAGGGGGATACTTAATTGTGCGATTTTTAAAAAAATCTTATGTGAACAATGAAAGACACAACACCCACGAATTTGCTCTTGGTCGGGCCCGATACACCCTTTGCAGTTTTTGAAGATTTAAGTTTTCCTTGATAAGTTTCTTTTTTTTTTTTCCCCTTTTTGGTGGCTGTAAAACAATCTGAAATGATTTCATTAATTGGCACAATCCATGAGATGCTTTTGGTATTTCCACGCTGCTTTATAAAGTCCAGACTGAGTATCTTTCTCCACAGATCTGCCCTCCTCTTGGTTTTCGTCTGTTTGTCATCGAGTGACTCATTAGTTCATTCGTTCAGTCCTTAGTCACAGCTGATTATATACCAGATTCCGGAGAAAGGACAGTGAGAAAAAAAATCAGACTGTTTCTGTCCCCACGAACAGACCGGCACGTGTGACACAGCGGGGCTGCTGGGGCCCCGCCCGGGTCCTCTTTCCCCGCAGGTGGAACCCCCCGCCAGCTGCCGAGGTCTTGGCCGTGATGACTCACAGCCTCTCCCCTCCCTGGAGCATTGCCCGTGGAAGGTTACAGCTCCCACTCCTCACTGGTCAGACTGTGGCCAGAGGCTAACCGGCAGTAGAAACCTTGTCTCATCTTAATGGGGGCCGCACTGTGTGTACTTCCTGTTCTAGAGCTTCCAGTGGGATCGGACTGCCAGACTCTGGCTGAGAATGTGGCCTTGCTTAGCTCCTTCCTTTGCCCCATCCACCTTCTTCCTCCCCTTTCTCCTTAGAGCCCTCCCTCACTACACCACATGCGTCCAAACCCCTGCATCAGGCTCTGCTTAGAGGCTACTCGACCTGAGACAGGTGCTGTCAGAGCCCATCGGCAGAGGCATTGGTTTAGGTGGGGAGTTCAGGAAAGCCAGCTCCAGGAGGGGTTGTGAGAGCTGAGATTTGCAGGATCAGCAGGAGTTAACTAGATGGAGATGAAAGGAAGGGCAGCCCAGGAGGAAGAACCGCATGTGCCAAGTTCGGGTAGGGAGGGAACGAGATCCGCAGGCTGAAAGGAGGCTGTGTTTCTGGAGCAGAAGGAGGGGGCACGGGGTGAGGCAGGTGGAGGGGCCCGCGGGGCCTGAGCAGGCAGGCGTCCTAGGCCTCGATGAGGAGTCTCATTGCCAGCACTGGTGGGAGGTGCTCTGCATGGTGGCCAGCACCAGCTCTGGCATCAGAAGTCTGCAGTTCTGGCTCTTTTTATCAATCAGATGTGGTGTCACCGTCTGGGCCCCAGTGAGGGTCAAGGTACAACCACAGGGCGTTTTGCAGTCCTGGAACAGTAATGACCTACAAGCGTATGTTGTTTTTCTCAGGAGGGTTTCTGTCTTTTCACAAGAACGTGCTTCCTCTCCTTTCGCCAGGAGTCCAGGGTACCTCGCTGGGGGACAGGGGAGGGTGGAGACGGCTGCTCTGCACCAGATGGGTGAGTTCTCAGCATCCTCGGACAACGCGGGCATCTGGAGAAGTAAAGGCATTTCTCTCTCTTTTTAGGTAAAAATAGCAACAGAAAAGGCGTGAGAACCAAGAGCTCTGAGAAGGCTGCCAGTGATGATCACAGCATCCCCGTGACCCGTGGTGATGTCAGACAGGGTGAGTGAGGCCCTGGGGAGCGCCTCCGCCCTCCCCCAGTGCCAGCAGTGGTCCACTGAGGGTGTCGGCCCCTGGAGCAGGTGTGGGGCTGCCCAGCGCGGGGCTGCCTGGGGCCTGCTGCCTCTTTTGAACCATGCACGTGGGGGCGAGAGCCTTCACAGCTGCCTGCTCTTCTGCAAAGCATAGTAACTCAGCCAGAATTCCCGGTCACTTCTGAATTTTCTGGAGCTCCTGGTTACCTTCCCTGCCCCTCCGTCTCTCTCCCCAGAGACATGACTTCCTTTCTCGTGGGGCCTCGTAGCTGCCTCCAGCCTTGGCTGTGCATTTCTTATCTCCTGACCAGACCCAGGGGCCTCCACGGTCAGAGGGCGAGTCTACCTACAAAGCATGCGATGCTGATCTTGGAGTCTTACTGCCAAGTGAAAACATTGGTCCTTGAATTACTTATCTTAGGATAGTTGAAGCCATTAGTTCCAGACTCGTGGGCAAACTCTGGTCCACGAGCAATAGCTATAACTATTATTAACTGTTACCATTATTATTATTTATCTCTATTACTCTAAACTATGGTATTTAAGATCGCGCTTCTGCTAATATTAGTAATAGTAACTGTTTTTTAGGCACTTGAGCTCTCGGTAGTTGCTGGCCTTTGGGCCTCATATTTGGACATCTCCCAGTGCCCCTTTGAGTAATGTGGATATTATTACTATTATTGTGTTGTTATCAGCATCATTATCCGTATTTAGCAGATAAGGAGAATGAGACTTGATAATATGAGTCATTCTCCTACGGATATACAACTGGTAAGTGCAAAACGTGGATATCAACCCAAGATTTTCTGATTCTAGACTTTCTGCTCAGCAGTACAGCTGCTTAAAATAAAAAGAACATTTCACAAACATGCATTTGCCGAGGCAAATGCACCAGTTTCAGCTGCCGCGTTGGCCCACAAGGCGTATAACAGAGTCGATGGTCACCGAGGGAATCGCATATTCCCTTAGGTACAAGGCAATGCTTTGGGGCCGTGTTTCCCACCAGGAACTCGTCGTCAAAGATATCCTAGATCTGATGACTAACAGGGCACCGCGAAATAAAAACGGGAGCTCGGCAAAGATGAACCTCTGCAATCGCTGAACAGACGGGAGTTCCATCCCGTCTCCGGTGGGCGGGCGTGGGCCGTACCCCTGGGAGGACCAGCCCCTCGGGAGCGGGTGCTGAGGACACCTGAGAGGCGGGGGCCGTGTTTCTGCGTTTCTAAGTGGGTGGTCATCAGACTCCCATCTTGGGTGGGCCTTGGGCATGGCGTTTTGTCCCCTCCTCGCAGCAGGCTGATGGAAGGACAGCTGTCCCTTTGGGATCGCAGGGGCCACAGGGCTAAAGCGGCTTTTATTGCCGCCTCACTGTGTGGGTCCTTGCTGCTGTCAGCTCTGGGCCTGCGAGTTTTTACTCTCTCGTTAGTTGTTAAGTGCTTTTAACACATTCAAACAAATGTTTTATCCAGATTTTTTTAGTGGCTTCAGCAGAAGGGTTGGTTTGAATTATCTTAGTTCTTTATTACCAGAACTGGACGTTGTTGAAATTCTGGGAAGCATTTTCAGAAAGATATTTCTAGGTCCATTTCTCTACACATACGCATGTGCATGCACACATGCACACGCACACGTGCACACACACATGCACGTGCACGCGCACACATGCACACGCACACACACGCACACACATGCGTGCACACATGCACACACGCACGCACATGCACACGCACGCGCACACATGCACACACACGCGCACACGCTGTGCCTGAGATACAGGAGTTGGCAGAAGTGTGTGTGTGTGTGTGTGTGTGTGTGTGTGTGTACGAAGGACAGAAAAAGATTGTTCCGCTGACCTTGACCTCAGAGCTTTTCCTGAACGGGTCGGGGTCACTGGGCACACTCCTTGTGTGCCCTAGAAGTGACTTTGGCCCGTGGAACTTCTTTACCTTGTTCTTCTGTTAAGCCGAGGATGAGGAATTGAGGACAACGCTGGAGGGGAGAAAAGCCGTAGAGGCCCCTGATGCGCAGATACGGAAGGAAGGCAGGCGAAGGTGGCCGTGGAGGTGTTCGTGGAGGCGGGCGCGCAGTTGGGAGCACAGGCCTCGGGTCCGGCAGGGGTGCCTGTGGGGAGCGCTGGGCAGCACGGGGCCTGAGACCTACAGCCGAGTGCTCTCTGGGACCTGCATTCATCCTCCTCTCAGCATCTCGTGAGCTGCACCAGGGACCTTGCTGTGGCAGAATGAAGGGGTTGGGGTGGCGGGTGGAGCAGACGTCAGCTGCATTGTGCGCAAGGTGGCAGATGGAAGAGATGTTATCTACATCATGTCCAAGGTGGCAGGTGGAACAGATGTCACCTGCATTGTGTCCAGGGTGGCAGGTGGAACAGATGTCACTGCATTGAGCAGATGTTACTTGCTTTGCTTTGTGGTAGATGGCACAGGTATTAACTACATTGAGCTATGTGAAAGAATGACATTGAAGGGCTTTTGTCAGATGCAGACTTCGCCCCTGGGGAACTTTCACTTTGAGGGAGAGAATGTGTCCATGGCTATTCCCCTGAGTAAGGGGCAGTGTCAACTGTGGCGAGTATCCAAAATACATCTTGGATATTGTTCTGTAATAGTACATGCATTTGGTTGAATGACTGATCTAGGTCTTTACCTCTCCTTATGTTTATACCCTTTGCCATGTAAGGTTTCAGTTCCCTTCACAAAGGGTGAAAGCCCCTTGGCTGTGGGCTGGTCCCTGTGCCTTGTTGAGCCCAAAAGAATATGGTAGAGTGAGCAGGTGCCAGTTCTGAGCCAAGGTCTTAAGTAGCTTTGCTCGTTTCCATTTGTTTGTTGCACGTGTGCCACCTCCGTGAGAAGAATGTGGGTACCCAGGCCACTGGTCCAAGGAAGCTGAGAGATGAGTGAAACACACACAGCCTGGAGCCACCTGCCTCTTTTGAGGCAGCTGAGCCCGGCTGGTCTGTAGACACCTAAGAAATACATGCCTATTGTGTGCCACTAAGAGTTTGCTTGTTACACAGCGATAGCTGACTAATAAAGTGAAGACAAAGAATTTTTATAAAAGGTTTGCATAGCGTTTTATTACAAGGATGTTTTAGAATTTATTTAACCTTCTAACAATGGACATCTGGGTTGTTCCCAATATATTGCCATTATAAACAGTGTTGCCATGAAATTACCTTGTGCCCATGTCGCTGGTCGCACGGTAATTCCGGACCTGGCCTTCGGAGTCCACCGTGATTTGACTCATTTCTGGTCTCTGTCTCCTTTTTGTTAGCTAGATGGGAGTTTGTTTCTCGCACATGTCCTGTGCTGAAGACGTGGCTCATGTGTTTCCTCCATAGGGGCCTGGTGATCGAGAGGGCAGCTTTGGGTCAGGCTGTACCCTCACTGGCTGTGAGACTCTGGGCAAGTTACTAACTTCTCTATGACTCAGTTTCCGTCTCTGTAAAGTGGGATAATATTCCTTTATAGGGTTATTGTGAAGATCAGACGATGTCTGCAGAGCATAGCACACACGGCACACAGTAAGCCCACGGCAAGCACTGGCTATGATTTTCATCTGCTGTCTTGGTATTTATTTTTTTTTGTGCCTGAGATACAGGAGTTGGCAGACATTTTTAAAGGATCAGATCATAAATATTATATGCTTTATTGGCCAAGAAGCAAAATTGAGGATATTACGTAGGTGCTTAAATAACCATTTAAATTGTAACCATTAAAAAAATATAAATACCGTTCTTAAATCATGGGCCATACCAACACAGGTGGTGGGTTGGATCCGGTCCTCACATGGGCTGTGGCTTGCCAACCCCTGCTTCAGAACTTCACGGTTCTGCACACGCTGCCTCCAGGAAGCCTGCCCTGATCACTTCTCGCTTGTCATGGTACCTGTCTTCTTCCTCTTCACTGCATCTCAGTGCTTCCTGTGCATGTGCTGCTCCCAAGAATGGCAGACTTGTTTGCTGAGCACCTGTGCCGCGCTGGAACTAGTGTTCCGAGGTGAAGAACAGGTGTCATTGTGTATGTTCTAGTGGCTTCTCCACATCTCAACGTCAGGGCTGGCCCTCCACGTGAAGTGGTCTTTGATCTGTAGGAAAGAAGCGTGAGTTCTGAGTGTCATGGAAGGAGGGTGGTCTTCCCAAAGCCGTACACGCTAGAGATTCCCTTACTTCTTCTCCCTCGTGCCTGGGCTGAGTGAGACTGGAGGCCTCGACCAGGTACCATGCTTGGGGTTTGACGTACTCTGTGTGTGTATGTGTGTGTATGTGTGAAACTTGAGAGTTTTCACTGTAACTCAGACAGTTTCCATCCACCCTTGTTGTGAGTGTCTCCTCCTTGTAGCACGGTCGGTTGGTTTTCTGGAGCTCGGCTCTGGTCTCCCCCCGGATAGCTGGCACAGCTCTTGGGGGTCGTGGTGTCAACCCCAGACTCATGATTCTGGAGGAGGAGTGGCTCACATGCCCTTGGCCTCCTGGCAGACGCTGTGATAAATGGCCACGTCTGTCTTTCGGTCTTTGGCAGTGAGAGGGGAGGTGGGGGCAGGTCTGGGACAGTCAGACCCTCTTGGACAAGCCTTGGTGAGGAAGCCCGGGAAATGGGGCTCGGGAAAGCTAAGGGCTCCGCCCCCCTGCTGTTTTCTCCACTTTTGACTCCATCTCGAACATGCCTACAAAGTTATCCTTCGGTCTCTAAGCCGAAATGTGCTTTTCGAGGCTTTCCCAGCCCTCCTTTGTAGTTTGGAGGCATTTAATTTGTTCCTCCGATGGTTTCGTGGTGGGGTCTACACTGGGTTCGATCAGGGATCCTGGGTTCGCTGTGGCCCAAAGTGGCCTATAAACTGAGTGTTTATGAGCGGTGTGGCCGCCTGGGCCACCAGCGTCAGGAGCCTTGGTCTTGTGGACTTGCTGGCGTAGAAATACCTCCTGCCAGACAAGGGGTCGAGGGACAGAGCTCT